GCTTTTCATAGATGTGCCGACCCATCTAGGTAGCCTTTTCTCGAGTTGACACGTTTTAGGATGGTGGCTAGACGATCTTACTCCAGCTTCACAGGCGTTCACAAGTTTTACCATGGTGAGATTCGTAAACCGGAACTAGGGAAGCAATGTTAGTACAAAATGCCCCCCCGTCGCTAAACAGCGCCGGCTGAAAGTAACAAAATAAAAAACGACGGTGTAACCAGGTTCTCACTGGTTTTTTATGCATTATCTCTGCAGCGTTCACGTTTGAAGACTATTTTTTTTCATTCGAAGACTATTTTTTCATCCTGTTCACCGCGAGATGTGGCAATTTATCATCACCACACGTGGTACGTTGGGAATCCCCAACGTGGTTTCCTATTGGGTCGCTGAAGGGAGGGGGGTCTATTTGCGTTGATGCTATGTCCCTGCCAGCTTCCACAATTGGTGGAAAATACGCTGGCGTTGCGCCAAACCTAGACGCTGTAACGCCTCAGCATTCGCAGCAAATAAGCTATATTGGTCGAGTATCGAACCTGAGAAATATTACATATTACACAATGTAACTGAAAATTACTGAAGCAAAGAGCAGTGATGGTGAATTTGGATTTGTTCACATAGTTAGCTTCAAGTGATAAAAGTCATAAGAGACCTCGTCCACGTTCTCCCTTTTCCAATTGCTCCGGATTGCACTGAAGTTGCGCGCAGTTCAGCGACGGGGGGGGGTATTTTGCACTCCGAGCCATCTAGGGAGCTCTTCCTTGAATAGACAAGAGTTGACGGGTTTTACCATGGTGGCTAGACGAGCTTGCTCCAGCTTCACAAGAGTTCACAGGTTTCACCAGAGCGGAACTTGTGAACCGGAACTAGTAAAGCAGTGAAGGTACAAAATGCCCCCCCCCCACGTCGCCGAACAGCGGCAACTGTCCCACTTTCCAGGCTAGCCCATTGCGTTGAGTATCCCAACTAAAGATACGGCACCCGTAAACGCTCCTCCACCCATCTGGAGAGAGGTTTTCTAACAGTTCTGTGTATATCTATGAAAACAGGCGTGACACGATACGTTCGTTCCGTGCATGAGCGGCCTTTTACTGGCGTCTCTTCGATCTTCCTGCTCTATCACCCTTCTTCACTGGTCCCTCCTAGGCGCAGCAGTTCCTCCTTTTTCCAAATACTAGCCTGAGCTTAAGACCTTACGACGTATTCGACTATTTTACCACTCTTTTCTATACTTGTAGGCTAATCGGTACCTATAAACTCGAAGTTGGAAGCCTAAGTTTCCAAGGTGTCATCGCGAAACGACACCAGATCTGTATGATTGACTGCCCCTCCCCTCTCTTTCACTGGCTCACTATGTCGGCCAAATTTTATTGGACGTCGCTGCGATCCTGAATGAGGTTGAAAAATGGTGGTGCTTTCCCGGAACGTCATGAAACTGCCAATTACATAGCGGAGAGCTCAGCCGCACTACGGCAGTGTGATCAGCTGCTGCACCCCGAGAAGGAACAAAGATTATCTGCCTGCTAGATGAAATATGATCGATCAACTGCGACTCGAGAAGTTTTCCTGCTCGAAGTTTATTGAGAACTGGTAGAACTAGAGCTATCGCACTGGTTCTGTAACAGAAAGTGCTTTCTTGAAGGAGTGATCCGCTTTATTTACCAAGCTTCAAACGGTTTCAGGCAAGCTGGAGCAAAAAAAAGAAGAGACCCGATAGTTTAGTAGAAGTAGATGATCCATGGCGTCTATCTGCGCAAATGGGTCTACCTACAACTTGGACCCAATCCTCCTAATCGAGTTTATCTCCTGATCCTGTCTGCTACTGCGAATGACGAGTTGGCCTTGGAGTTGATGGCCAGGAGCTTGGGAAACCTTCGCCTGAGCATCCAGAAATCATAAGAGGGAGCCGAGATCCTCGTACAAGGGCTAAATCTTGGCTAAAGGGGTCATAGCACAAAGGCCTACTAGATGCGGGTTTGAGATGCGTCGCACAGAGAGTTGTGGTCCAGTGAGAAATGTTCCGTGATTTTACGCAGTAGCAGCAGGGTTGTGCCAAGACAATCGTAATATGCCGAGCTGGTGGGCGTTGCGAGAGACGCCGCACCCGACAGACTTTTCGTGCTTAGCCATTAGAGTGTGGGTCAGAAGCGAAGGAGTGGACATTGCTCATTAGGCAGTCTTGTGTTCTCGAGTTAGTCCATATAAATCCCGTTGTTATAGACGACAAACTTATGCACATCATAGTGTTGCCGCGCATGGCCGCATGGCGCGCCGCGCGACGGATTATAGTTCTTTCGACCGTCTTCCCAACAGCAGCGGTCAAAGAATATCATACTAATTGAACCGATTCAAGAGAATTCTTGGAAGAGAAACTCTCAACGGTGAAGTTGTTCCCGAAAGGCCTCACTGTTTAGAATAGAATATCTACTACTTTTAATGATTTCTCGTTATCATCGACGCCGACATGAAAATCAAGTTAAGGCCCTGTCAGGAGAAAGCTTTGACAATTGAGCCCAGCTGAAAACAAAATAACTTTTAGGTAATCTAATAACCTCACTGGGATTGCGCTCATCAAGGGATATCGGCAATGGCGCTCTTTGGTAGCAATGTCCTGAGAGCCGTCAACAAAGACTATCAGTCTTTCAGTAACCCGAGCCTTGGGCAACTCAATTTTTCCACGTGTGCTTCCATGGAAAAGGAACTGTAGAGTAGGAAAATTATGTTTCCCTCATTGACAGGAACATATCAATGTCTCGGGAAGGGACCACCTGCGAAGCGCAGTCGATTCATTCTTTTCGCGTTTGATACCTTGGGTCGTAGGTAAGGGCGGAAACTTTGGATGCTTCGAGTAGAACTTATTACACAGGATCCAGGATTGTAGTACATATATCCAGCAGAAATGCGCACTCTTGAAATAGGAGAATTTTCTGGGTGCCCATACTTTTTATAGCTACCCTATAAGTCGTGCGGCAGACCACAAAAAAAGTCTGTGAGCAACGATCGATAATGCTGGTGGTTAGATAACCGGAGACGCAGACGGCGAAAGAAGAGCTATTTTAGTACTCACAACATTGTAATATCTATGAGAATGCCTACTCAATTCAAGCTTCACAACTGGTTGAAAAACGGCTCGCTTGTGCTTCAGATATACGCAGGACCTTCGTCGACAGACCATTTCAAACTTTGTGCATATCTTCTTACAGAACTTTTTACTGACTACATATATTGTAATTCGAAAGGAAACATCGAGAAGCCGCCAGCATCAGTTACATGTACTCGAAATCCCTGAGATCGGGTAGGCGTGGCCAAATATTTCAACTTAATCTGAAGGTGTCCATGCTTCTGGTGAGATATTTTCATCTTGACACAATTGTTGTCGTGTCTCTGTCCAACAAAGAACAAGATTGACAGTCGCCAGACTGTGATATTCCACGAGTAATCGGTTCCGTGCCATGTTCAAATGCCACGCCTACTCTGGCTCAGGGATAAGAGTGTACTTTGCCGCAACGCGACAGCAACTTGACGCTGGGTGGTGGTCTCGGAGTATGTGAACAATCGTAAACGCCCTACGTGGCTGATGGGCGTGTGGTGACCGTGCAGCGCGCCAACTAGCCTGAAGGAGCGTCTGTAATCAAGCTGAGGGCTCAGGAAGGGAAATATCATATCATCGCCATTCGCTCTTCGCCTGCACTTGAATTCACAGAGTTTCACGCTTCATCGCAAGTAGTGCACATCGGGATTCGTGCGCACTGCCGGCACGAATGCGCCCGCGCTCGGGAGCGCGGTAGATTACGAATGTCTTGTCCGGCTCCCGTAATGCTGTCGACTGCTTTTTATACACTTATCATCCTCTGAAAGTGCTCAAGTCCATCGTAAGCCAGCATTCACACCCTTAATTATTGAGTGGCAAGTCGAAAGGTACCAACAGGAGACGAAACTTTGATCAGGTCTAAACGCGGAAAAATGACCTAGGCGACGAATCCCGAGTCACATATCAGGCTTTGCCGCACCTTGTGATTTGTGTCCATTGCAGTTGTGGACTAAACATCTTTGATTGGTGAATGGTGAATGAATGCATAAATCAAATTATGTTTAAGGGACGCGTGGTCCTGCAACGAATTGGGTTACTTTTCCTGGAAATCTCGTCCGTCGTTTTTTCCGGGTGTAGATAGGCGACAGTGGCAACAAACGCGCTCCAATGCGATTTAGCGCAGTTCACGAAAACTATTAACTGTCGTCGTCATTTGTGAAATTCGTCAATGTTTTCTTGACATAACATTGCTTGTTTTAAAACATTTTCCGATCGATTTCGCAGTAACATCGGAAGAATCGTTTTTCAAGTTTATCCTCGAGAAAATATATTGATTATCGTGTCACGCCGCCTATAAGCTCGGCGTTTTTCAGTTTTCAAATTGTGAATCTTTTGGAATTTGTTGGTTGCTATTCAGTCAGTATATCAGTTAATTACCATAAACTTTCGGTTGGAAAATAACCAACTAACTGACCCTGCCCCTTCAACGTTTGCATTTTGAGAGCAGTAGCCTTTGTCAGCCGAATGATTAAAAGCAATGACATTCCCTTCCATATCATTCCCACATTGCTATTTCATGAGTAACACGCAACAAAACACAACAAAATAGAAAATGAAAGTTCTTCGAATGATGGATTACTGTAGTAGAGCATCTTGGCGCTTTTTTAAAGCAAAACGTGAACTAACTTGATGGATGAGCAGTAGTCCAGCTGGACCGACAGAGACAGACGAACAGCTCCCTGCCTAGTAACCAGTAATGATTTTCAGCATTCTCGTTTTCCTCGGGAATTGTGTGACGTACTTACTTATTCAAGTACAGAGCACTGTTTGTATGGCTTTTCTCGTGGAAGTTTTTTTTCGATTTTGAATACTTTCAAACGTTCGCGTTATGTTTCTGTTTGCACATATCTGACATTGTTTTGTAATATGTGTTCAGAAATGTTTGATTTCCTATGCTGACTAACATCCTATGGCACAGGATTACTCGGACCCAGAGCTACAGTTAGCTCTAGAATTGAGCAAGTATGTTTGCAGGTTCCTTTTCGGTTGGATGGACCTACAATAGAGCCTACTGCTTTGATAAGCACTACTATTTCATTTTTTGTAAGAACAGCAGGCCCAGCAGAGCGCAAAAGGGGAGAGCTCAGACGACCAGAGTCATCAAAGAGCGGAGTCTTAAGCTTCTGGTGCGGGCCCTGGCGCGAAAGGTCAGAGCGCAGAGAATTAGGGCGCTGCAGCTGCTAAGGCATGAAAGGTGCAAAAAAACAGGTCGCGAGCCAGGGACGAGCTTTTTCATGAGGGGTGGGGGAAGGGGCTCCGATGTGTGGGCCCTTTATCATGCGTGCAAAGTTGGAATGTCTGAGGTGACCAGAGAAGGTTGGCAGACGTGAGAGCGCAGAGAAAAACAGAAAGTCGATGCGATTGAAGGAATTGAGTTTAATTGTCCGTAGACCTAATGATTTCGCAGTCCGAGAGAATCGCTGCCACCTATTCCGCACACTTCATTGAGCTTCCTTAGTCTGAGGTTCTTTTGAATCCCACCGCCTTCTGCACTGCCCTCGAGATGTACGTTTCACCGCAGTGACTTGCCCCCTTGGCGTGCGCGCGGTCCTCCGCGCGCGCCTGAGGCTAGGGTGAGGGGACAAACAGCGCACAAGATAAGGGAAGGAAGTCAACAAACAAGGAGATTTCTTCGCGATTCGCAAAATTCTCCCTCAGCATCACGCCCGACACCCACTGGCCAAATAAGCCATTTACCACCTCCTTCCCAGCGACCAAGCACACCCCGAAGGGATTCTCCCCGCGAGCTGTACCCTGTCCTGAACTGCACTTGAAGGTTTCTAAAGTGACAGCTGTTGGTTCGCTCAGCAGAGCGTTAGATTTCCAAAGCTCCGTCCACAATTAGCGCCCTCTATAGAGTTGATATAGCCGAGGTCAGTCGGGGCGGTTTCAAGAAGGATGGAGTGAGCCCACCCACGGCATGTCCACCACTGGTTGTTTTCTTCCTAAATCGATTACTAGCCGGTCACCATTGGTAGAGCAAGGCTCGTTCCGCCCTTCCTGGCACCGCCCTTCCTGATTGTGACGTTATAGACTACGCGTATTCCGCTGTTTTATATTTTTAGTGCTTACGTTCAGGAAAACATTTGAAGAGGAGGAGCGGCGGCGGAATGAGGCGCAGGATTTGATTCGTTTCGAATCTCCTGAATCACCTGTACGAAGGGAACAAATCAAACAAATTAATCGACTATACAGCCAGCCTAGTTTTGAGTCATATCTAACGTGAGTATTCCGCCCTATTTTGGAGATTCAAAACGTTAATTCGTGTTTCAGGCCCACCCATGATTTCACGCAAACTTACCATACTATTTCTGCTACCCAAGGCTATACTTCCCAACCACAACACTCTAGAACAATGCACCCTTCAACACTATTCCCTTCTGCGTCATCACATTCATTCGATGATCGATCTTACTTGTATAATACTGCTCCTTCTTGTTTACCTCCTATTGTACCGCCATTACCTCCCAAGGGCCACTATAGTAATGTATTTCCTCCAGCGCCTGATTTGAACAGTAAGTTTTACTCACATGCTTTTGTTTTTCATTGAGTGTGAAATCGACACGATTTCTCTCTGAGTTTTACGCTGCTCCGAAAACTCTGAGGCGGCGATGGGAGCTGACGGATCAATGGTTTCGATTTTCAGTGCGCTACGACACTCCTCCTCCTCTGCCGCCTAGACTACATTCAACAATTAATTCACGATCACTTAACAACATTCCATCTATATATCCTGGTCTGTTTCATCTTATTTTGTGAGAACATCTCTAAAGTTTATTTTGGTATTGTTTTTTCTGTTTCGCTATAAGGGCGGAGGTGGTGTAGTGGCAAGTGACGCGCTTACCACGCGCGCGACCCGGGGATCAAATCCCTCATCGGCCCGCCCCTGCCATCCATGCATGCCTTTCTTCCCTTAAGCAGGACGGCGAATCGATATCAGATTCGTCTGGGAGGATAAAAAGATCCTGCAAGTCACCGTATAGGCCGCATTCAGTAAGCCACTACTACTCTAAATGGAAGTAGATGCGTGCGCACCCCAGAGAGGGATTCGACGAGACGACTTCATTGTTCATCCTTCGTATCTCTGTTCCTCTCTTTTTTTCAATTTTTGTAGCAGTTCTTTTTATATTTGGCACCCCGGGGGCGTGCCACTGACGTCGATAGAGGAACTTGAACAAAAGCTGGCAAAATGAAGTGGAAAGGCATAGAAAAGAAACACAGGAAGTATAAGTGAGCGAATCGGCTATCGAAGTTCTGAAGGGAGTACGAGCTGGGAATTTTATCGTGACAGAACAAGAAGTTCATTCTCCCCGTTAGGTAGGTCAAAGAAGTCCACCTTCGATGTCCTGGTCAGCAGGGTATGTCCTACTGTTGCGGAGAATTTTCTCAAAGTAGGACCCCCATCGAAATCTCCTCCTCTGATAGGACCCCCTTCTCTATCCCCTATCTCACTTACCATCTTCCTAGTTTTCCACAGCTTCCTACTTTTTCCGATTTTCCGGTAGTTTTTTGAGAATTCTTCGCTTTTTTCTTCATAAAAAACTGCTGTCGAGCTGGGGTATGTTGCGGTCTCAAAACATGACACAATGAGAAAGTCAACCCTTAACTAGTTTACCACCTCAGAAGCGAAAGCGAACGTGACCTACCTTACTGAGGGCCCCTAACGTACGACACTCTGGTCCGGCATTTGGTTCAGAAAACAAAGGCGATAGTACTGGTGCTTGCTGACCCCCTAACCCTTACAGAGTTCGTACGGGACCCTAGGCGAATGAAAAAAGGGACCTCATGCGAGCAGGTTCATCATCGTGCAGGTTCCCCAAACAACTGATCCGCATTGCTTGCTTATTTCTTTTTGTTTTGGGACTCCATACGAGCGGGTTCATCATCGTGCAGGTTCCCCAAACAATTGGTCCGCATAGCTTGCTTATTTCTGTTTTGTTTTTTCTTTGCTTTTTTTATTGATAAGCGAGATTTTCAGTTCTTCCTTCGTCTAGTTCACACTCATCTAGTGCTGTAAGGGATGAGTTCGAGCTGTTTCCAACGCCGAGGTAATTTTAGTTTTCAAATTCCCTGCTGTTTTTTTTGTGCTTTGCGATCTTATTTTTGTTGAAAGTTCAGCTTACATTCATGTGAAGTTCAGCGCCGCTATAGAGAAGACTGTGTGAGCGAGTGGGAAGGTGATGGGATCTGAAATAGAGTGGGGGAAATGTCGAAAAGTGCAGCTCCCTGGTGCTAGATCCAATATATCGAGATGTCCGGGCGTAGTAGTGTAAGGCGCTGTAAAGCTGTAAAATATTACGAGTTTCTTTTTAATGCCATTGTTTGGATTTTCATGTAGATCGGACTGCTTGAAAGGTGCAAGGAATCGATACTGAGCTAGAGCATGAGGATTTCTGCTCGAACATGTTGAGGGGAGGTTAGGAAATGGATGAGTCGTTTTTTCGTATAAAAATTACCTTATGGCAAATGCTCCTGGGGAAAAAAAGCACATCTCGTCAGTAGGAATCCTGTTTTCGCCAGAGGAGCCCCCAAATGTCAGGAGGTTTATTAGCACCGCTGCTTGCTTGAGATAGTGCCCAAAGTAGAGCTTAGGGGTTGGACTCATGGGTAGGGGTCAGTGGGAGCTGCAATCGGGCTGATCAGGGTACTGCAACTTTTTGCTTGAATAACTGCTACTTTATGCCTCCAAACGCTCCCGAAAATTATCAAAAGTTAGCTGGATTATCGTTGAAAAGCTCAACTCGAAAATGGAGTTGTACCTGCCACCCATGCGAGTATGCTGCGCATTATATCGGCTGCCGTCCTGTACCGTAAAGAAAGAGTGCTGATAGGATATCGCACAAGGGTTATTAAAGACAAACCCCGCCATTGTACGTAGTGGATTGTGGGCGTTCAGTTGAAAACCTATAGTCGTTAAATGACACTCCAGGGAAAAAAGCAAAAAAAATCATGGAGAACATCGAAGTAGGTACTTGTCAGCTTCACTGGGTGAGTTTTCGGACCTGTTATCCCTGTTGATTAAAGACAAACCCCGCCATTGTACGTAGTGGATTGTGGGGTTCAGTTGAAAACCTATAGTCGTTAAATGACACTCCAGGGAAAAAAGCAAAAAAAATCATGGAGAACATCGAAGTAGGTACTTGTCAGCTTCACTGGGTGAGTTTTCGGACCTGTTATCCCTGTAAAAGCGATATTCTGCCGTCTGTGGCTCATTTATCGTTTCTTGGCATAATCCAGTTATGCCATCTAACAATGGGAGAAAAAAAAACTGAACTTATTACAAAAAATAGCCTTTGAAATCGGGGGGCGGGACATTGAGTAGGCGTTGGAACTGCCACTTGTGAGAGCCTCAACGCCTTCGCTACTCCCTGTGAGGCCGTGAAAGTAGGATAATCTGAGAGACTGAGGGCCAGACTATTTGTACTAAGAGGGTCGCCTACAAGTTACTCGGACGCAGCTGTCTCTGAGTATTTAGCCCATAATACAGCATCCTTCTGGTAGAAGAGCACGTAGTGCATCGAAGAGGAAGTTCATAATAATCTTTGACCGATCACATACAGGTTGTTCGCTGCGGATGAAGGGGCGTGTTAATGGAGCTGGGTTTGGCGCGCCGCCAGCCCGTTCTCTTCTGGATTTTGAAGCGTGGAAGCGGCAGCAACTGGTGGGAAACGACTTATTCGAATAAAAACTCATTCCATATCGACACGCCCCATTATCCGCATCGAACAAAACTATGTGCGAAGCAGTATATTTGAGGGTAGAAAGTGCTCACAATGGACAATCGAGAGAGAAAATGAAAATAGAAGCGTGTTGAAGCCAACAATTACTTTTCATAAAGAGCAGTTTCGTAATATACATGTTGAAGTTATGATTTCATGCTAGCGCTTCTGACGTTATGCCTTACGTCAATGCCGATCTATACGTGCCATATACAATGTGCTCGAATCGTCTTTTAAATGGCGATTTGATCGACTTGGGTTCATCCGATGAACAGGAACAATGCCCGATTGCTACATTGGAGCAGGTGAGCACATATTGATTTTTAATTTTTGTTTTTGTTTGACGAGATGAGTGGTCGCAATATTGGGGCAGTTTCATTTGGTCCCGTTATAGAGCAAAATTTTCCTTATTTTGAAGTTTCTTTCCTTCACAGCTTTTTTTTCTTCGCGGTAAGCCTTGTGTATCACATTTTCTGGACTAAGAGCGGGTTTCCCAGTATCATATCAAATTAACTACTGCGTGCAGCGCATGGTCGCTATTCGGGAAACTCGCTTGATTGCGTCCAACCGATTTTCGGTTTTACGCCTAGTGCAGTAGTTTTACACTTGTCATATACAAGCGTCCGTGGTTTTTTTTTTGTTTTGACGTTACGCAAGTCCTTTTTGGGGCTTTGTTGTGGACATAGAAACAAAAACTATTTTGCCTGCTTTGCGCATATATCGTTCAGTGCCCTTCTTCTCTAGTGTGCGGGTAAAAAAAGAAAGCATAAAAGGTGTCGCAGCGTTTTAGCATTTTACGCTTCGAAATGTGGAAACCGCTCTAGATCCATGCTTTTTCTGTTTTTTAATGTTTCTTTAGTTTACCGTGTCATTTCCATGATTGCTTTTAGTCCAATTTATTTCAAGCTAACTCTCCATCTTAAGATGGGATGACGTCGAGCGAGATCCAAGTTTAGTCCCCTTGCAACAGCACTAAGGGGTGTTTATGTTTTGCGTCAGCATTCTGAGCGTACGGCAGTGTTTTGAGCGACTAGGGTAGTATAGGTATCGATCTGGTGTCTTGAGCGTACACCGGCATTTATAGCGTTTTTGCGGGTAGTTAAGCGTCGCGTAAACCACTGGTAGCGCCTAAAACTCTGGATCGATACCTGTACTTTCCTAGTCCCTCAAAACGCTGCTATAAGCTGACATACGCTGCATTTAGCTAGATAGTATTCATACTTCCTTAGTAGCGGACGTAGCTAGCATGCGCTGGCGTTCGCTGGAGCGATATCTATACTTTCTAGTCGCTGGCGCTGCCGTACGCTGGTGTACGCTGGCGTACTAGGTCGATTCCTGTACTTTGCCTGTCGCTCGAATCCGCTCAAAACGCTTCCGTACGCTCATATCGTTGACACCAAGATGAACCCACTCTAATTCTTCCCCTCCACACCTTTTTACTTTCCAGTGCCTTCCTAGGAAGAGGGATTGAGATTTTACTTGCTGTAGACTGCTTGTCAGTAATTTTAATAGCCTTGACAATTGTAGTTTATTTCACGTATATAGGTATACCCATGAGCGTGTATCAAAATAAGCAATAAGCTTACGAAACATTGAACTAGAATACTTCCTCGACGAGTTTATTGACTTATTTTTCGATTTTGAGATCCGTCGTGATTTCGACCCTCTTTATCGCTCACCAGAAAAGAACGTTCATATAGCATCGACCATTCCGTCCCTACATGCCGTTGATTCTGGTGTAGAGCAAGGTGAGTGGTGGGGCTTATTGTGAGAACTTTCTTACTTGTAAGCATTACTAACTTAATCGGGCCGTTGCAGTTGGAATAGGAACTGGTGTGAGACCACAGCCGAGGCATTCTCCATATCAGGAAGATGAAAACAAGGAAAACTACGAGAGCGATTATTTTTCTTTGGATTGCATTCGTCTGGAAAATCATGTACCCTCGGTTATGCGACAGGTTCGTCGTTACAGTATGGACAATTTTTTTTCTTAATGTTGCCGCTGTGCTTGCTCGGACTGTATGCTGCTACACTCTGTATACCGGGAAGTGGAAGGGCGTGGTCAGTTACTTCACTGAGACGGCGTAGGATGCGCTTCTCGTGAGATGTTTCAATTTCGGACGACTATGACTCTGATCTCTGCTGGACAGAGGCATGATAAAACTATCCAAAACGAAAAGATCCCGCCAGAAGCGCGGTCGCCACTACGTTCAAATGTTATGGGGCCACGCCCACCCCATCTCTGAGAACTGGAGTGTACTTACTTTCACACAATTATCTTCCAGATAGCGATCGTGAAGGAACGGGGCATGAAAAACTGCACTTCAACATCCCTTTACTTCATGTCGCCAATTGCAGATTACATTACAACATCGGCACTGAGTGTAAAAGTCGTCGTTAGTAAGGATTACACGTGGGTTTTCAAACATGTAGTAGAACAGTAATAGTCAACGATTCAGTGTTCGCACCTGAAAAATAATAGAATTGGCAGGAGTTGGTGTTGTTATATACTTATACCTCGTTCATAATTTGCAGCGTTTAAGAATCAGACAATGCGCGCAGAAGGATGAGATGAGGATCGAATAACTCCGATTCTCTTATTCTCTCATTCTGTCAAAGGGCGAAGTCGGTCGCTTCCCATGTAATCTTTCGAATCCTCGGACTCTCCTGTTCTGCAGTAGCGCGGAGTATAAACACCGCGTCGAGGTCTCTAATGTAGTACTCGTTAACCGTTGATTCATTATCGAACTGTTTGACTAATTTATGGTGGTTATCCTTCGTTCAAGCGAAGGTGGTCTAGTGGCATGTAGCGCCATTTATCTTGCGCATGGTTGGGGGAGGTGGGGGTTGGCTCATGCTCAGATGTGGTTTTTTCGGTGGGTTTCCTTTCGTTCAGGTGCAGTTTTTTTTTCTTTCCTAGCCACCCTTTCTGCGATGCTTATTGAAGGATTTCTATTTTGCTGCTCGCAAATTTCCTGTCGAAATTATCTGGGAGGAGGGGGGAGAAGGGTTGTGGATTCTTGGGATTGTTCTGGAAATATTGGCCGATTTTGTAATATTTTAGAGTGGAAAGCTGCGAAATGATATCAGTTGCAGGTTGTGTGCCGACATTACACTGCGCGGGGCTGCCTTTGGACTGGATTATCTCGTTACGAGCTTCATTTTTACATAACTTTTTCGATATTTTTTATTTTGACCTTTCTTACGTTTTTTTACGTTGCCTTCACATTTATATGGTGCTAATAGTGAGTTCTCTGCCAGGGGTGAGGATGCTTGCTTAGGCCTGGGCGAAGGGGCTCCGGCCAATATACAGCATCGTGATGTGTGAAATGGTGGTTGGTACACCCCACCCCTTCCTCAACACTTACCTACCACCTTCTTACAAGTTTCCAGCTTCCGGTCAATTTTTAACCTAGAAATTTTCCGTTGAGGAGGGGGGGGGAATACCACATGTGAACGGGAAAAACCGACCGCGAAAAGTCAACAATCGGGAAAATTTTTTTTCCTAGGTAAATTTCTCTCAAAGCCACATACGACGCCCCTTCCCCAGCGGCCAACTACGACTCTTCATGTGTTTCACATAACGATGTCGTACCCTGCTTCGGGGTAGAATACCCGAATATGTAGTAAAAAAATGGTCGTTACATGAGAAGTAGGTCGCCTGACTCGAAGTCATTTTTTGCACTTGTCTTACTTGTCACAGGTAACTTTGCTTTCCAGTGAGTATAGCCTCACAAGTAAACGTTTTACTGGGAGCGGTCCATGCCCAACAGTTGGTCTGGACCACCATCAGTGTCCATCAGTGACACATTTTTTGTTACACTAGAGATTGTGGATCTCCCTGGTGTGAAGGATGTCTCAATTACAGCCAACCGCGCCATGAAGCTCCGTTACACAAGTTGGAACTAGTACCAATTTGTAGCCATCCGGTTCGTAGAGCTTTACAATGTTTTTCCCCCTTGCCCCCCCCCCCCCTCTCAAAGTGCTCATTTCCTTGCCTTCTTCTTTTTCTTCGTGGCATTTTCGTCTTCTTTTCCTTCTTTTTCCTTTGCTTCCCGTACAGCTCATTGAAATCTTTCCTCCGAGTCCACTGAATTTAGCTTGTTTTCCTGGTGGTGGTACGTGCTGCCCAACCTGGGCTGAATCGCGAACTCAGGGTGCATATTAAAGACAAATTCCACGTTTGCATGTTGCTGATAGTGACGTTCAATTACAAGCCAATAGTCGCCTAGTGGCTTCCAGGGAAAAAAGAGCGAGGTAAATCATGGAGAACACAGTAAGTACCCTTGGCATCATCTCCTGCTCATTTATGCAAATAAAGTGATGTCCTGCCTCTTCACTCATTAATCGTTCCTTGGCGTCGTAATAACGCTCGAGTTTTAGTGAGCGGAACAGCTAGGGGATCAGAACTGCCACTCGTGAAGGCTGCAGTGCCTTTATTACTTACTGTAAAGCTGCGAAAGTGGGATAATTGTAGAGATTGAGGACCAGACTATTCAAATAAGAAAGGACTCCTACAAATTGTTCGAGCACGGGGCCCGTCTTGAAGTCCGTCTGTTCATTTGCGTACGTGTTTAATTATGCACCCATTGCATGCGCCAATCGAGGACTAAATGGCAGGAACAAAAAAGAATTTTGGACTTATAAAAAGTAGATTTCCCATCGATCTAGGACTTCAGTCTCTATAGAATTCCCATACCTGGTTGCTTAACTGTCCAGCATAAAACTATCATCTTCTTAATACAAAAACTTCGTTGTGGTGTTTCAGCTGGCATCAGAATGGGCAAACAGAATTGGCGCTGGTTTGCGATACAGAAACATCTATAGACTTATTGATCACTCAACTGCTTACTGATTTGCTTGACGAGTGCGAAATGGTAGATGGAGTTCCAGTCGAAAAGTACGGTCTCAAGGTTAGTCGCTTATTCTGCAACAACAGGTTATGTACGCAGTTCTTGAGAAAAAAATTATGTTTATCCGAAAATGATGTTATTATGAGGGCCGAACTTGTTTGATTGTTCTTGATGTTGTTTTGCATGGCCTAAGAATTAGTCAGATTTACCCTTTTAATGGGACGCACTAATCCTTCAATTGCCCATGTTTGCGATTGCGTTCCTCATTGAGGCGTGCTGTTTCACTTTTCTACTGAGCCTGGTGCTGCCAGCTGTCATTCTCATGTTACTTTTCTTTTAGATATTTGGATTGGACGAGTTCCTCCCCAAGACGTCTGCTCTAGGAAATAATTTGTACGTTGGAAATTGTATTCTTCATGGTAAAGATGTGAAATTAGAGGTAACTTTCTGTCAGTGCTTTTCACAGTAGCGATTATTCAGTAGGGAACAACCGACTCACAGAAGTACTCAGGCGTGAAGTGAAATGCGATATGGCATGTGGCTACGGACTCACACCTCATTCGACGCGCGCTACCTAAAAAACAATCTCGGTGTATCTTTCACATTTCAAGGACGATTCGCATTCCACTAATTGTCAGCCATACTCCGAGCGAAATTTTATGGTCCCTTTGAATCTTTAAAATGAGCGGATAGTACGGAACTTTTCAAAATTTCTTTTTTTTCCGTTTAGCAACTCAAGAGGACGTTCCGCTACGTGACAAACGACCAACACTAGTGTTTGGGTAAAGCGCGTCGAATAAGCTGTGATTCCGTAGCCCCACGCTGCATTGCATTTTACTTTACGCATCAATTCTGTGAGTCGGTTGCTCCGTACTGAATGATCGTTCCTGTATCCTTTTCGGTTATCTACTGTTTACTTCAAAACCAGTGTAAGGAAAAGTACTCTAGATTGGACGATTCGAGCCGTCCTTTATTCGCTCATCAAGCCCACCACCAGCATGGGAGAAAACGAAGTAAGTTCACAGTAAACTGACCTAATGAATTCGTTTGAACCGCACTTTGGTTTCAGGACACAGTTCAAATTTTCCTCGGTATTAGACAAGGAAGACATAGAAAACATGATTGTACATCTGAAATCTGAAATGGCTGAATATGAACAAGCTTTTCGATCCACGTCAACACTGAGTGGTTAGTTCTTCGATTGTGGTATTATTGGTTTGATCTTTCATTTATTTCTTTGATGTGATATCAAATTACGTGCAATTTGCTGCACTATAGTCAGGCGACCATATTGAAATCTAATCACCCCTCCCGATGAAGGCGTTCGAGCCGTGGAGCTCGTGTTTCTCGTTATGCCCATTAATAATGTGTCGAGAATCGGAATAAACACAGGGTCCCTTGTCCTCAAAACTGAAGCGTTAGGGGATCGGAAACCTTTGGTGAGACAGGCACGGTCCGAATTGTCAGTTCCTTATTATTAGGGTACTTCAGATCCTTATTCTTGGGCGCTATGACAAGCAACGAATTTATAAAGTATAATGTTTGCCGGTGATCAATTCCTTATTGGATACGGCACCCATTTAACTTCCATTGAGAATCGTAGTGGCTTATTGAATGCGATGTGGCCTATACAATGACTTGCGGGGCCAGCCGATGTACAAGTCAGTGTTTTTATCCTCCCAGACAAGTCTGGTACCAATTCACCGTCCGGGAGGTAGAAGGCTTGGTGGCGGGGGAGCCGACCCGAGATTTGGCCGCATTGGAGTTGATCAATATCCATCCCAGAACTGCCTTTTCTCCTACACTTCCTCCTTCCTACGTACATTTTCATGAAACATTGACTCGTCGTTTCCTCTATTCCCCTGTTCTTCAGTTGTAAAATATGAACGTCCTGAGCAGCGTAACTTACTCTTCTGTATTCACTGTTAGGTAATGGAGAGAGAAAGAGGTCAAGCTCAACCTCATCCTGTCATCTTTCTGGAGAAACCGCCTACCTAATCCGGTGCAATATACACTGAGCGCTCCATGAAGCCTCTTACTTGCCATGGCTCATATAGTGGAACTTCATAGGATAGATACTGTGGGACAAGAGAGTACCCCTAGTTCCCTGCGGATGAAGGGGCGTGCCATGCAGTATGAGTGTGTCACGGCACCAAACCCGTTCTCTGCCGTTGTTAAGCGGGTATGCGGCAACAGTTCTTAGAAAACGAGTGATACGAACGAGGGATGCAGCCTTGTCACTTGCTCGCTTCGGCAACTGGTGGGGAACGGGTTTTGCACCGCGCCAAATCATCCTGCCTGACACGCCCCTTCGTCCGCAGCGAACTAGACTATATTTGTTGATCGTTAAAACAAAATTCCTCAGCACTTTTCTCTTGCAGTCTCGGCATCTTCCAACAAAGTTCGGCAGTGTGTCAAAATGTTGTGCAAGTTGATCAATTCCATCGAGCCGATGAGCCTTCATCAACATTTGCAAAATTATCTAACAGCGACTACAACTGTAAGTTTGTACCACAGAATCATAGTATTTCTTCATACTGCCTTTTCGTCATGTTATAGGACCAACTAAATTATGCTCGAAACGATTTCATTGCTTCGCTGCACAATTTTATTATGGTTTACTGCCAATGCACACTGAGTTATTACAAGTTAGCTCCGCTTAGAGTGAGTTTGCGTATTTGTTTCCAGTTTAATCGGAATGTTCTCATAGTTTCAATCTCTTTTTAGCCATTCAACAAGCAGAAGAAGGAGATCCTACACTGTAAAGAGAAACTTGCGGTGAAGGTGGATTCAGTGCACAATTTGGTAGAGATGTGGACGAGGTAGGCTTTAATTGGTTTTACTACTTAACAGTTTGTACCTTTCAAGATATGCTCGATTAGTGATAGGTAGTATCCCTTCCATGCGCTAGTGAGTAGGTCCGCAATCGTACCGCTTTTCCCAGTTCCACTTTCATTGCTCGACAATGACTGGCGACGGCGCTGAAGCCCTCATTAGGCGAAGGTGGCCATCCGTGGAAGTAGTCCCTCCCATCCTGGGATGAGATATGCCATATCTGTGAATACAAATGTGACGCGTTGCGTTCACTCTGTGTGCAATCCGCCAGTATCGTCCCACTCGCCGTTCATTTCGTCTTCTTCTACTCTGTGCCACACAGCGGTATCTCGCTTCTTCAAGTATTGCCTGCTTTTAGTTTCGGGGGTTTAGCCAGGGCGTCTCAAACGATTCTGTCCACTCTTTTCTTCGCTTTGGAACAAGTAGCCATCTGCGAATTCATACTTGAACCCCCTCCCTCTTGCACGCCCCTTCATCAGCAGCGAAGAGGGCTGCATTTGCGGAATGTGCCTTAAGAAGTAATAGCGATTGTTCCGTACCATTTCCGTGCCATCAGATGACTCGGCTTGCTATTGTGACTCATGATATCTAAATGAGCTGCGTGGTGGCGTCGTCTCATAAGAGGTTGTAAGGTTGCGCCACTGAGACGCTTGGGTCAAGGAATGAACGATATGTTCGACGGGGATTTTTTTATTCGCGTTTTCTTTTTTTCGTCGTTTTATGTGGACAGACTGATTTTCCAGAGAATACTCAGCCTTCTTCGTTACGGTGAATGTGTATTATGGAACGCAAGTTTTAGCCGGTCATAGTAAATGTATTTCGAAGACAGTGAAATATGATGCCTTCTTTCCCTACATTCCTATCAATGTCTACGTAAGTTCTTCGTACTATAATTGTTCGTGTACGATAAATCTCACTGATTTCAGGCGTGTTTCGAGGATATGTTGTGTACTTGCCCAAGGGAAACGAAGATCATGTTTATATTG